GGGGAGAAAGGATAAGGAGGAGGGTAGGAGAGGAGGGAGGAGGAGGAGGGGGGAGGGAGGAGGAGGGGGGAGGAAGGGATGGGGGAGGGGAGAAAGGATAAGGAGGAGGGTAGGAGAGGAGGGAGGAGGAGGACGGGGGAGGGAGGAGGAGGAGGGGGGAGGGAGGAGGGAAAGGAGGGGGAGGGAAGGGAGGAGGAGGAGGGAGGGGAGGAGGAGGAGGGAAAGGAGGGCGGGAGCCCCCCACCCTCGCAGCAGGGATTAGCTCAGGTGCCTGCGTGGATTTGCTCCTGTCTTCCTCTTTCCTCCCAGAGCCGAGGGGCCACGGCCGCCCTGACACCGACGGGCGCCTTCCAAGCCGTCCACCCGCCGCCCGGGACACCCGTGCCTCCGGGCCGTTCCCTTCCACTCTCTGACAGACCCACGGCGCAGCCCCCACTGGTCCCGCACAGACCCACGCGGAAGCACGCAGACCCGTGCGGTTACCAGGCACCCGACGCGGACACACACGGTCACACGCGCGTGGCTCCACAGCACACACACTGACACACGGTCAGACACCCACACGGAGGCGTGCACACTGGTCGCCCGATCGGACCGTCTTGGCGTCTGATCTTTGGAGACGTATTTCCATTTTGGCCCAGCAGAAAGGAACATTCTACGCAACAGAGCACGGCTCTTCGCCAGACCCGGGTGGATGTGAAGCCCAGGGCGCGAGGGCACCCTCACACGGGCGTCTGAGTGCCTCTACTTACCAGGGTGAGTGCAGCCCGTGTGGGTTTTGCCCACAGGCCAGACTCACGTAACCAACTGGGGGCGGCCGTCCCTCCGGTCACGACAGAGTCTGTCCCTGCTCCTAACGGGCCCCAAGCATTTCTCAGCATGCTGGCTCCACACCTTGTGAACTGGTGGCTAAGACAAGGCCATGGACCACAGACACCGCCTCGGGGTTTGTGGGAGAGCCACGAGGGCTGAAGAAAAACTAGGGCGGCGGGGCCCAGGCCGCCGGAGACCGGGTGCGGGACGCCCGGCGGCTCGCGGGGAAGAGCAGGCCACGTGCGGCTCACTCGGGTGTCAGTGCAAGAAACACACGGCAGCATTTAGCTCGAGGGCCTAGAAGATTAACTTTGTATCTCTGGTTCCCTTCAGAAGCGCCAGTTAGAGGTACTTATCACGCAGATAGAGAGTTCCGCTTGCACGCCTCACTGTGGCTGCCTTCTGAGGTGGCGAGCGCGTGTCATCCACGTGAGAACTTGTACTTGCCTGCAGTGAACAATTATTGGACAAGAACGGCCCCTGTAGCACTTGTTTACTTTTCTGAAACAAAAAGAGACAGAAATTACGGTTACGCACCACGACTCCTGTCTCCCGCCTCGCAAAGTAACTCCCAAGCCACAGTCACGGGGCCCATCTGTGGCACCGTTTACCACAGCCTGTGTCACCAAGTCAAAATCATACACACGTCTTCAAAGATTTATTTTCCTTGTCGGTGTTAAGTTATGAAACAGAGCTTTAAAAACAACTCTTACGTTTTCACCATCTTCCCTTCCCTGGACAAGCCAGACCCCGGGGGGCTCGGTCTTTGGCCTGCCCCGCCCCCACCCCGCCCCGCCGTCTGCGGCTCCGCTCAGCCTGACTTTTTGTTGTGACGTGGGCATCTAGACTCTGCTAGAACGGCCGAGTTCTGCGATGTATTGCTCCAAGTTTCTTACGTCCTAGATGTCCTATCGGAATGTAATATGAGTATTGTCTCAAAAGAGCAGCTTAAGGTCCCTTCTGGTCCGTCCGGTGGGTCCGGGCTTCTTCCTTCCACAGAAACCTGAGCTCACATCAGAGACAAGTCCTTCCTTTGTACACATTTGAACATGTTGACAAACAACTTCGCTGTGCAGATTCTAGACCAGGATTTATGCAAATTAACAAGGAGCTTAGATTATCTCGTGACCGAGCCCTAAATCGAAACAGAGGGCTGATTTAAAATTCACTGCGTAAGCTCCAAACGTGTTGGAAGTCAGTGAAACCACTAAACTTGCTTACAAAGTACCTGAAAATTCTCAGTAAAATAGTTCTGAATAGAGAAAAGTAAATGAGCCAAACGCGTGAGGGGGCTGGCTGTGCTCGAAATTGCTCTGTGTGAATTTTTACAATGTATGACACGGGGCAAAATTAAAAAAAGAGAAAAGAAAACCGGTGCAAAAAAAGGATCTTTTCCCTCGCACCGGAAACAGGAAAACGCTGCATTTCTCTGCGGAGGCTGGCCTGCCCGGCACAGAGACGGTGCGGGAAGTGTGTTCTCTCCGCGGGTGGCCTGGCTTCAAACCCCTGGACGCGGAGACGGAGGGGGCGCTGGGGGCAGGCGGCTGGCCCGGGCGCCCGGCGGTACCTTCCCCCCAAGGACAAAGCTGGTCCTTTCCATCTCCTCTACGAGTGAACGGAGTGAGGCCCACACGCCCCGCCGAACAGCACGAGGGGAGCCCAGGCGTGAGGCGATGTGCCCTACGACGGGGCCACCCCCACGCCCCTCGGGCCGCCTCCTGCAGCATTTAAAGTTGGCAGGCCACCGAAAGTCTTAAAAATGAGAAGACCCACCAACATGGGTGAAACAGGCTGCTCGGTGGCCACCTCTGCTGGAGCTTCGGCTCGCTTTCGAGGCGCACGTTAACGTTGGGGTGGAGCGGGACGGTGAAGGAAGCACACGTGAGCTCATCGAGATCGAGCAAGAGTGCCACGGTGCCCTCAGAGTTCGTGGGCCTTTGAGAATAAAACAGATTGAAAAATAGACCCACTACTTTCTCCTACTAAAACTTTGATTCTCGGGGCGCCCGCCTGGCTCAGGCGGTAGAGCGAGAGGCTCCTGGTCTTGGGTGGTCAGTTCCAGCCAAGACTGTAAGTGTCTTATAAACTCAAGGTGGTGGAGATGGACACCCAGGATCACGTTCATTAAAGTGGTAATTTAAAACCGGAAGTGGAGGTGGTCTGCATCTTAAAACTCCCATCCTTGACTTGGGTCGTAAGGTCAACAGAGCTTTAGGTTTGACAAAGTACATGCCAGACCCCAAGATGTGCCTCAAATGTGAGCAACGTGAGGTCTGCCAGCTCATCTGAGGCCGTGTGTGTGCACGTGCCCTGCGTGTGCATGAGTGTATGCACTGTGTGTGCATGTGTGTGCACCCGCCCTGCATGCATGCGTGTGTGCATGTGCCCTGTGTGCACATGTGTGTAGACACTGTGTGTGTGCATGTGCCCTGTGCGTGCATGTGTGTGTAAGCACTGTGTGTGTGCACCCCCCTGCATGCATGCGTGTGTGCCTGTGCCGCATGCATGTGTGTGTACACACCGTGTGTGTGCACGTGCCCTGCACGTGCATGTGTGTGTACACACTATGTGAGCATGTGTGTGCACCCGCCCTGCATGCATGTGTGTGCACGTACTGTGCGCGAGCGCCTTGCATGTACATGTGTGTACGCACTATGTATGTGCATGTGCCCTGTGTGTGCGTGCGCACCTGCCCTGTGTGTGGGGCGAGACCTTCATGTATATGTGTGTGTACACACTGTCGGTTCATGTGTGTGAGCTCTGCATGTGCATATGTGTGTACACACTGTGTTTGTGTGTGTGGGCACGTGCCCTGCGTGTGCATGTGTGTGTACGCACTGTGTGCGTGTGTGCACGTGTGCCTTGCATGTGCATGTGTGTATGCACTGTGCACATGCATCCTGTGTGTGCATGTGTGTACGCTCTGTGCCTGTGTGTATGTACCCTGTGTGTGCATGTGTGTGCCCTGTGTGTGCATGTGTGTGTATGATCTGTGCACTGTGTGTGCATGTGTGTATGCACTGTGTGCATGTGCGCCCTGTGTGTGCATGTGTGTACACATTGTGTGCGTGTGTGTGCCTTGCATGTGCGCATGTGTGTATGCACTGTGTGTGAGCATGTGTGTACACACTGTGTGCATGTGTGTGCCCTGCATGTGCATGTGTGTACATACTGTGTGTGCATGTGCCCTGCGTGTGCATGTGTGTGTGCCCTGCATGTGCAAGCGTGTACATACTGTGTGTGCATGTGCCCTGCATAGGCACCGTGTGCATGTGTGTGTATGCACTGTGAGCGTGTGTGTATGCACTGTGTGCATGTGTGTGTGCCCTGCGTGTGCATGTGTGCACAGTGTGTACTCTGTGTGTGTGTGTATGTGTGTACATGTGTAGAATGTAGCAAGCTCAGAGTCAGATTAGATCTAGGACGGCTTTATTTTTGTAGGCCTTTTACTAGAAATCTCTCGGTCGCTGAATCTCTTTAGATGTGAACCTCCAACATTCTGTTATACTTCGTACTGGGCTGTCCAGTCTGTGCTTGTAAAGACTAACCCAACGTCTGTACGTTCACACCCTGGTCAATGACAGGTTTTGGTCATTTTTTCTGAGGGGGCCAAGTCCAAAAATAGTACATTTAAGAAAGAAACAGTAAGCGTACTGGTTTCAGAAAACCATCACCGGAAGGAATCGCGGGACCGGAGTGTCCCATTCGCAGCTGGTCAGCCTCGCTTCCGGCAGAGTGCAGTAAGCACGGCCCCCTCGGCAAAGAAAAGTTGCTAAAAAGGAATTCCCGGCACCTACGACGGCAGCTTGCTTCCGAATTCCCGCAGTCCCCGTTCTGACTTCACAGAGTATTTAAAACACTTCTCTCTCCAGCGCGCTGTGACTGGCCGCCTGGTGTGGCCCACGAAGGTTTCGCTGTCATTTTAGTCGCCACGTTTAGCCCCGCCCCCTGCCAAACCTATCCACAAAGGGCCACGAGCAATCGAGGAGACGCGCGATGTGCAAACAATGTGCCCGCGTGGCTGAGAATTTCATTGACAAAGAGTCACGTGCTTGTACCGTCACAACGTAAAACATCACAAATAGAAGGGCAGGAGCATCACATCGTCAACAAAAGCGTTCACCTGGTTGACCCAAGATACAGATGCAGATTATTCATGAAGGTGGGCAACACACAGCTGTCCTGTGTCACTCGATTAGAACAAATCATCAGCAAGCCAACGGTTGCAAACATGGAGAAAAATGGAGGTTAGATATATTTCAACAGGAGCATTCACTGAGAAAGAACGATTAGTAATACAAACCGACCCACGGGTCGCTGAGTGACAAGGAGCCGCATGCAACCCACAGCGAGCAAAGGTCAGAGGTCGTGAGAGGCTCAGGAAGGGGGCCCCCCACACTGCCCAGCAGCAGAGTCACAGCCTCCAATGATCACTTTTGTGACTATGCAACTGGGCTCATATTACTAGCTGCAACATCACAAAAATGACACTGGCCACCGCTCATTAGCTGGCAAAGTAAGGGTCTGAGTGCCGCTGCACACAGCAAGAAGTGAGAGAGTCAGAGAGAGAGACAGACAGAGAGAGAGAGAGAGAGATAATTTTTAAAAGCAAAGCCCTCACACGTGATGCTAATGATCTCAGCTCTGGCAGCTTCTCTTTAAAGTGTAAATGCGCTCCCTCTGGGCTCCAGAAGGAAGTAATTACACATCCCAGTGCCTGCTGCACACGCTGGCCAGAGCGAGGGAAGGCTGGGCGAATGTTCGGGGCGGGGCAGGAGGAGACCTGTGCGTAAGGTGACCAGTGTCTTCAGAAGCCGTCGCCCCTGGCCAATGGCTGAACTTTGGGTGGCTCTTTTACCCAGAAAACCGCAAAGTGGCAGTCCGTGCCTGAGCGCGGCCCTCCCGAGACCGTGGCCGCTCACGCCCTTTGTCTGGTTGGTCCGCGACAGGCGGGCTGGTGCCACATGAGGCAAGCCCGTGAAACTTGATGTTTGAACAGACTTGCAAATTTCAAGTTAACAGAAACTTTCTGGAGCCGTATCTCCTAAGCCTCTGGGGGAAAGGGAACTTGGGGACTCAGTGTCTCTTCATGACAGGTTTATAAGCACAGAGGTTGCTTGTGTATTGGTCAGTCCCACGTATGGATACGGACGCGGACGTGCGCCCATATGCATATATGTACAAACGCACCGCATGAGCATAAAGACGGGGGTCAAGATGAACGGCTATCTTTGTAGCCACATCCATTTTGCCGGTAACGCCTCTTGTTTGGAGACTCTATCTCAGGAAATGTGCCCTAGGTAAGATTTTTAGGTAGCACGTCTTCAGAAATAAATTTGTATTACGACAACGAATGAAATAGCCAGGAAACTGGGATGGGCTGGGAAGGAACTGTGTGGAACCAGGGCTTTGGGGCTGTGTTCAGGACTGGGTGCGGGGTGCGCGCTCCGCCTCTCTGGGTAAGGTGACGGAGCAGGGATTGGTCCCCGCGCGTGCACCGTGGCCGTGACGCCTAAGGTTTGTCTCTCCTCGAGGTTTCACATGCTCTTTGGTCCAAAGAACCATTCAAATAAAAATCTGTTTTGCTTTTCAAAGGCAAAAGAAATAGCATCATAATAACCTTGAGAATGTCTCACACAGAAATTCAAGAAACGCAGAGATGAGCCTGAAACCCCGCTCTCTCGAGTGACACAGTGTGCATTCAAGGATGAATACCGTTCAGACACAAACCGCTTCACGACTGTGTATGAGGCTGGGTCAAGGCACATCTTGTTTCCTAAGTCCTTGTTTTGGACATTTGTCTGCTTTTGGTATCGGGTGGCTTCCCCATCAGTGACACGTAAGAGAGGCTCTGGGAAACCGAGAGCGCGGTCAGCCTGTTGCTCAGCACCTGCCTGTCCTTGGCGGATGTGTACGTACCGCCACACGACAGCCAATGCTGACCAACCGTCATCACCGAATCCAATGGACAATCAAAGCCTCCGTCTGACATTTTCCCTTTTTTGCCTCGTCAATATCTTCCTGGAAGATGGCTCCCAGCATTCATCCCAACAGGTCAATAAACACACTTGATAACAACACCCCCCCTGGGCGACTGGCTGACTGCGGCGGGAACAAAGACTGGATGTTTCCAGACCGTCAGCTTCAAACTGCACTAAAATACACATGGTCATGTGCTAATTCCATCCAGGCTCCCCCGCCAAGGTCCAAGGTCATCCAGGGCAGAGTCTGGGCCCACACTTGCCACATCTCATCATCGTGTCCAACCAGACAGTCTCCAAGATAAGCCTGTCTTTTCCTCATCAGTGCCCTGCGAGGCATAGACTTGAGGATTCGACCACTTAGAGAATCTGATCAGAAATAACCACCTTATGTCCATAATTCTAAGGTATCTTCGTCCCCCATTTTGACTCCTCTAAAACCAGAAAACATCTTGCGGTTAATACGTACCATTAACATAATTTCCCTCCCCTCCCCTCTCCTATATATATTATAAATACAGTTGATCCTGGAACAGCATGGCCTTGAACCGTGCGGGTCCACTGACGCGTGGATTTTTTTCGATAAATACAAGGCAGCACTGAAAACGTACTGTCTCTTCCTGGTGATTTTCTCAATAACGTTTTCTTTTCTCCAGCGCACTTCATTGTAAGAACGCCGTGCGTGACGCACAGGATATACAAAATATGCGTTAACTGACTTTTTTAGGTCACCGGTAAGGCTTCCGGTATACAGCAGGCTGTCAGCAGGTAAGTTTCAGGGGAGTCACAAGTTAAATGTGATTTTCAACTGTGTGTGGGGCTCGGTGCCTCAAACCCGTGTTGTTCTAGGATCGATCGTATATTTATAATCTACGCAAACATATAACAGATGGTGTGTCTCACGGCAAACGGCCTCTTGGAGGCAGGAGACCGGTTATCACACGGCGTCCCCTCCTCCCTGACGCCCGCACCATGAAAGCGTTAACCCGCCGGTGCACCGTCGGTCGTACCTGCGGAAATCCAGGAGGGACCTCGCGGAGGAGGGCACCCCGCGGTCGCACCAGCTCAGGAAGTGGAACTGGGTCACGGTGCGCGTCTCGTTGGTCTGAAGGTTCTTCAGGTAGAAGCTTCTCACGAGGAAGTCCTCACACCAGATGTGCTCGGAGACCAGGTTCACCTGGATGGGGCGGGGGGCGGGGGGGGCAGTGGGAACGTGAAGCATCATCGTCTGAACACGGAGGGATTTGCAGGAGCCAAGGGCGAATACCAGGGGGGCAGCTCGCGGGCCGACGGCAGGCTGCATGGCCCCTCCCACCGACTCAATTTTGACAGGGTTTACGCAAAAGATAACTCTGTGCATTTTAATGTCACGCAGACGCATTAGTCAAATTATTAGAAAACTGTGTTTGGATTCAAAACTATTCCAGCTTCTGTCTTTTGTATTTCTGAGCTGTGTAAACCTTCAAGGACAACTGTACTTTCGGGCAAGACACCAGCGGGTTCCACCAGAGCTGACATTTCACCACGGTGGTGTCACCGAAAGGTGGAGAGGAGCCCAGTGGGTTCACAGGGAAACCGTGACCCGGCACTTCTCAGGGTCAAGCCCATTCTCAGCCCCCTAAAAGCCATAGCCGCGTGATTTAGGGTTAATTTTCACACTTCCGCTGTGGGGCTTTGGCATTCCAATTTTAACGCAAAACCATGCATGCACACAGCCCTAGTCGCTCTGCCCGTGTTCACTTGGTTCGTCGTTGACGTGGGTAGAAAGTCCAGCAAGAGAAAGAAACTTGTGGCCAGGCGGCCCTCAAGGAAGGTCGAATCTCAGACACAAGCCCCTGAACGCCAGGCGGGGACCACTGAGCCGTGAGAACAGCACGGGAGTGTTTCCTAAAACAACCCCCCGCCCCGCCCGCCGTTCCTCGGGGCCTGGCTCAACGGGCCTCCCCAGGAGGTAACTCTTTGGTCCTCTCTGTCTGGGTTTGGAATCATGAAACTTTAAAGGCGAAGACCGGGCCGTCTACGCCAGAACGCGGGGCCACGGCCATTGGGAGGGGCTGGGTATCTGGGGACCACGGGGCCCTGGGGACGCCTGGCCCGCCCACCAGCCTTCCCAAGGGGGAGCTCCCACCGGGCGGGGCGGCGACTCATGCTCCTCTGGGCCCTGCGGGCAGGCGCTTGGGGGAGTACCTCGTAGACGTGGTAGAGGCTGGAGCCTTCATCTGGCCAGTAGTGGCAGCACTGGCAGATGCCGTTCTCCGAGAGGGAGGTCAGCATGACGATGACCACGCAGCCGCTCTCCCACACCATCTGCACACAGAGAAAGGCCCACGGCCACAGTGTGACTGGCGATCCCCCAGGCAACGCTCGCGCCGCTCAGATACACGGGCCAGATGCGCCCTGTGCGCAGACTGGACACTTTTCACCACCTCTAAATACACTGGCCCCGTGGTTTCCACGTTCCATGAATTATTTAAAAAAAACCCCCAAACAACCAGTGACTCATTCCATGCCTCTTAAAACCTCTTCAAATCCACGTTCAGCTGTCTGGCCTCCCAACTTTTGATCTGTAAAGGGAACTTTCCATAACGCAACACGAAACAGACACCATGGCGTCTGAAGGCCCCCCCCCAACCCCCCAGGAGCAGGCGGACGCGCACCTCTCTGGAAACGTCCGCTCCTCTGTGCGGCGCACACTGAGATTGGTTGACACAATCGGGTTTTGTCATGATTCTGCGTGACATTCTTCCCCTGTCCCACTAGAAGCCAGCTCTGCGCATTACAGAAAGCGGTCACCGGGATTTCATTTGCTTACACAAAATACGGCAGTGCGGCTCAACGAAAACAAAACTGATTTAATAATTCATGACAGCCACACGACAAGGCGTCTCTGAGACAGAGTGAAGCGGTGAATGGACCCTGAAACGTGGACAACTGGCAGAGGACTTCTCAAACACAGCTCCTGACTTTGTGGCCGTGGCCCTGTGTGTTAATACTTTGAGCGTCATTACCAAACCATGAATCCCACGGGGTACGCTGAGGCAGCACTGCAGACTTTAAAAAAACATTTTTTTTTAACATTTATTTTTGAGACAGAGAGAGAGAGACAGAGCGTGAACGGGGGAGGGTCAGAGACAGAGGGAGACACAGGATCCGAAACAGGCTCCAGGCTCCGAGCTGTCGGCACAGAGCCCGACGTGGGGCTCGAACCCACAGACCGTGAGATATGACCCGAGCCAAAGTCAGACGCTTAACCGACTGAGCCACCCAGGCGCCCAGCACTGCAGACTTTGATGAGCATTAAATTACGGAGTGGAGAGGAGTCTGCTTTTCCTGATGGAGGTTGTGTTAACGGCACAGAGACATTTGTAAGCGGCTGCATTTAGATGTAGGTTCAGTAGATAAGAGAACTCCTATTTCTTTTATTTAAAAAATTTTGTTTAATGTTTATTTATTTATTTATTAAAAAAAAATTTTTTTTCAACGTTTATTTATTTTTGGGACAGAGAGAGACAGAGCATGAACGGGGGAGGGGCAGAGAGAGAGGGAGACAGAGAATCGGAAACAGGCTCCAGGCTCTGAGCCATCAGCCCAGAGCCTGACGTGGGGCTCGAACTCACAGACCGCGAGATCGTGACCTGGCTGAAGTCGGACGCTTAACCGACTGCGCCACCCAGGCGCCCCTTTAATGTTTATTTTTGAGAGAGAGAGAGAGAGAGTGTGAGACAAGAAGGGGCAGAGAGGGAGGGAGACACAGAATCCGAAGCAGGATCCAGGCTCCGAGCCATCAGCACAGAGCCCGACGCGGGGCTCGAACTCACGGACCGCGAGATCGTGACCTGGCTGAAGTCGGACGCTTAACCGACTGCACCACCCAGGCGCCCCTAAATTGCATTTTAAAAACAGACATGTCTACGATATTTTCTTCTTTCACCACGGATTAAATTCCCGCATGGTAAGACTAGTCGATCCTGCTTAAGGCCCTTCATCGTGTATCGTTTATGTCAGCATTTAATGGAAGCTGCTGAAACGTTCACGAGAACGCCCACAGGGAAGTACGAATTGTGCCCAAGCCCGTACACTTTCAACGTCTTTGGTGCAAATCCCGCGACGAGGCGAGAATTCAAGCCGTGTAGGTTTCTCGCAGCCGTCGGGCTCCCGGACCTGCCCGCCGGATTGGTCCTCCTGGCACAGGACAACTTAATGTGTCTTTAGAAGGTGGAGAAGCTCATTGAGGCCATTACGAAAATGAGGAGGAACACAGATTTTATGAGTGTAATAAAACTACAATGATCTAGACCATAAACTAATCACCTAACACTCTACTTGTGCTACCCAAGTGTGACATTGGGAAGCCCTCATTTGGAGAGGGGCCTCCCCTCCGCGCGGCCCCCGCTCGTTGGGCCGCACTCGGCACTTCCATTCAGGGGCCCGCCCGGCTCTCCGAAGACTTGCTTAAGATTAAATCCAAATGAAACTTAATTTAAACAAACAATCCCAAAGGCGCTCTTGGGGATCGTATTTCTTTTTAGGTCACCGTGTGTAAGAGCAGGGAGGGGAATTTACTAAATCAAGCAAACAGGCGGCCCGCTCGGGCGCCAACATCACGAGGCCGTGGCGGCTCTGAGCCTGCCAGCTTGGGGGGCCTGCACCTGTCTGTGCGCGGGGGTCGGGCACGGCCGAGTCCAAGCGGCTGGGCCTCATCGCACGCTGCGGAAAGTTCACGTGGACTCTGCCGGGAGACGAGGCACCAGGGGAAGTTCCAGCTAACTCAGGTTCCGCTTATAAACAGGGACAGCTTCCACCATTTCCCCTCCCTTGGCCTGGTTTTCGTGGGGGCAGCGCCCAACTCCAGGGGGAGTTTCTCCTCCAGGAAGCTGCTGTCGGCTCAGGGGCCCCACCAAGTCTTGGAGGCGTCCTGAAACGGGCAGTTTGCCGAGCGAGTGAGCTGACCGGGTCAGGGCCACACGAGGTGATTTCTAGCACTCTTCTGTTAAGTGTCCGAGAACAGGACAGGCTCTAATCCACCATGACGGGGTCCTTATAAGAAGAGAGAAACTCCACGTGAGAGCAGACACAGCAGACAGCAGGGGAAGCCACGTCACGAAGGAGGCGGAGACCGAGTGACGTGGCCACAGGTCCCGGACGGCGTGGGGCCGCGAGACGCTGCAAGGAGGATGCCCCTCTCACCACTCAGCACGGCCCCAGGGCTCTCAGAGAATACACCTGTTGTCAGCCCCCCAGCTTGCGGTCATTTGTTGCCGTAGACCAGACACGGGTACGTTAGCCCCTGAACAACTGGGGGTGAGGGGCGCTGACCTCCGCGCAGTCGAAAATCCATGTTTCACTTCTGACTCCCCCAAAACTTCACTACTGAGAGTCTCACCGATAACATAAGCGGCTGATTAACACATATTTTATATGCCGTATATATTATCTGCTACGTTCTCATAACAAGCTGGAAGAAAAAAAAATGCTGTTGACAAAGTCACAAGGACGAGACTACCTTTATAGCGCTGTCCTGTACTCCGCGTGGAGCGGGCCCCGGCAGCTCAGACCCGAGCCCCAGGCTCCGCTTTGTGCTCGCCGTGCGTGGCCTTCCCGGGGGTTGGGCACGCCAGCGCTAAGCTGCATATACTAACCTAGCTAGAGCGTGTGCAAAGAAACCGTAGCGTCCCTTCATCCGAAGTCTTTTTCGGGTACTAACCATTCAGCAAACCAAACTCTTTTGAAGCCCCGCCAAGACCTGATTAAAGGAGAGTGGCCCGCCCCAAACAGCAGATGCCCAGGCCGTGCTGTCTGCCAGGGACCCAGTTCCTCCAGACTCAACTTTCTCCTTCCTCTACCTAGATCTCTTGTGATGTGTCCCTCTCCACCCTGTATCACCCTTATCACGAGCTCCCGTCCTTCTCCCACCAGACTGGCATCTGAGAGGAGCCTAGACGCTGGGCTGCCTGACGCCCCTACCCTCCGCGGCGGCTGGGATGGTGATGTGTTAGAGCGGATGCTTGGTGGAAAACAATACGTACGTTTAAAAGACGTCATTTGAGTGTTTCTGTGAAAAGAGATAACTCAAAGAAGAATGCTGTCAAAGCCATGCCGTCCCAGGACCCGCTTAACGTACAGAAGAGCTCTTTTATTTTTTATTTTTTTATAGCCCATAGACCATTTGCACTCACGTTGGAGCAGCTGGTACGAAGGAGACGGCTCTACTTCGTACAATCCTCCACACCCCTGCAATCCTGACCGCGAGGTTCGTTTCGGCGGTACTCGCTTTCGTGGGTGGAACGGAGGTAATCTTAAGTCTGGCCACGAAGAAGGAGGCTGACTCACATTTTCAAATAATAAGGAGTCAGTTTTGGAGACTTAACAGCACGTGCATTTCACTCCTTGTGAGCTCGCGGACGTCAGCTCTGCTGTGGTCTCAAACAGATCAAACAAGAGAGAACCCACAAGTGTCCGGAACGCCTCTGGCAGAGGAGACCCCCCTGCCCAGAACACAGGCCTCAGCGACGTGGTGTTAAGCCTTCCAGTTCTGCCTGCCCTGCAGTCCCGGGCTCGGTGTCGAAGCGTGCACTTTGGAGACGGTGATCTGAGCGGGTGACGGGTAGTAACGTTATGTCTTCCGCACGACTCACAGCACCCCCAGCTGACCTGCTTCTTAGTAAACAAATGTGTCCGCGTGGGCTTCCCTTCGAGATAAAGCGACGGGGTAGCGGAAGGCGACGCTGCCCGCAGTGCTGGCGGCGGCCGCGGAACGCGGCAGGGGCAGGTGGGCAGGAAGCGCGCCTGGCGGCCGTGAAGGCGGGTCCTGAGCCCAAACCAGTCACGGCCTCCACGCGATCTTCTGTACACAGCAGCCCCCGCCTCGGGAATAGTTTTGCCCCGGCAAGAAAGAGCCCTCTTCAGAAGACGCAGCGGCCCGTTTCGTCGTCCAGCAGATGGGACGCGGCTGGGTGTGAGCGCCTGTCATTCGGGAGTTTCCAGAGCTCCGCGTGGGACGTTTTAATCCAACCTGTGAGCAGTCCCTGTGGCGGTATTCCCAACAGGGATCTGCCCGCATAGGACGTTACCGCACCTCAGGGACCTGTCACCGCTTAGGACCGTTCACAGTCCCCAGCCTGCTTCACCTTTCAGGTTAAATATGCACCTGACATATTGTATCCTAGGTAAAAACGCCCTGCTCTGGTGGCCATTTTTCTTTTCAAGATGGGAACCTGATATCAATGCATCAGATCCACTTGTGTATCCCAGAGGAGGAGGAGGAAGGGAAGGGGGGTGAAGGCAGATGAGGAGGAGAAGGTAGACAG